AGCCTACATCAAAGCAATAATACATTTAAAAAAAAAATAGAGAAATGGCCCAATTTAATACACTTTTAGGGGAGTGGAGGAATATGATATAAATGCTTGATTTATCAATTTTCAAACATATATATTTTTTGAGATCATTTCCCAATACCCCTTTAATTGTTTATGCAAATTACCATTGCAAACCTTTTCTATAGGGATATACTGAAAGGAGATTTTGGACAAAATATAACTTATCTGTTACCATTAGACCAACCTTGAAGCATTGGCAAATCAGTATAACAGACTGGGGATAAACACAGCTTGTCTACAGTATAAAACCTGGGCAGTGTCACAATGGTAAACAACAGTGCATTAGCATATAATTTAAAGTTAGTTAATGGTAGGGATTGTCATGTTGTCAATAATATAATTGTAAAAATATACTGAGTGAGTGAATGTAAAATAATTCAGGTAAAAAAAAACAACAACAAAAAACAACAATATGCAATAGAGCAATTCCAAAACAAGTGCAAATATACAACATGGGAGGTGGTGGGGTGGGGGGGTGTATGTAATTTGACTTAATAGATATATGTGAACAACTATTAGAAGGTATAGTCATCCAACAGTTTCATTATGAATGTACACCCTAGATATCTAATGAAGACTTGTTTTAATATTTTTGGATAAAGTATTAAAATGATTTAATATTTTGAAGCAATATTTCAATATTTTAATATGTTATATAGGATATATATATATATATATATATATATATACTAATTTTAAAAGTTTACCCAAAAGTATTGAATAATTTGAAAAGGGTATCCAACAATATTACATCAGGGCTGGAATCAGCACACATTTATTGAATAGAATAGAAGTTAAAGATAAATAAACTGTGATGCAATACATAGCTAAAATGATTCCTAGTATTTAAAAAAAAATACTGATATTTTATGAGATGAGTAAAAAAGCACATATTTTTCACAATTTAAGTTTACGTTTAATGCTACATGCTGGTTGTAGATCAACTACCGGTGTTACCAAATTATTTTAAGATATGGTGTTAAACCTGATAGAAAATATGTAAATATATTGATTTCCTGTTGCAGCTCCCAGTGGACCGTTGATTGCGAGGCAGTTGCAAAAAAAACAAAAAAATAATTTCATCCAGCCTGCACTAGGATGAACCATGAATAACGTTTAATCCTAATTCTATTATCTGCATGTTGCATCAAAAATGGAGATTCATTAGACCAGAGAACATATTTCAGTTTGTCCAATTTGTGTGTGCCTGTGGTCACTGCAATCTCAGTTTCCTTCTCTAAACAGCCAAAGTGGGAATAAATGTAATCTTCTGTTGTTGTCACTCATGCACTTTAAGGTTTGATGTGTCGATCATTCAGTGACACTCTCTTATATAGCAACTGAAATAACCATGCAATACAGAAATGCTATTGCCTTCTTGTCAGCTTGGACCAGCCTAGCCATTCTCTTCTAGGCATTTCAAATCTGGGCCTCAATTTAATATTGGCTTTTCAAATGATTTTGTATTTTTGGATAAACTTTTAATAATCAAAAAGATTGAAATTTTCTTATATTTTGATATTTATTTTTTCCCCAATACATTTTCACATTTACTTCACGGTGCTGAAAGTGGTTTATTTTATTTTATCATTTTTTTCTATAAATATGGGTGTTTTCACCAATGACTATATCCTGGTGAATGTTTCCACATAAAAAATGAAATACTGATGTGAAAAAAACACTTTGAGATTTGTTAAAGAAAAAGTTGGATTTTTTGGTGGGGGCTAATATACCTTTGTTGAATCGCTGGACTGGGCATCAACATTCTAGATTCCTCCAATGCACAACATTTGTTTTCATATACATGTATATATAATTATATTTAATAACAATTTCAAACTGAAACTGAAAATTTGAAGTTTGACTTACCGGTAGCTTAAGTTAGCTTACGTTATTTAGTTGCCCAGGAACCAAATTAACCAAGGGGAAATATTTAGAGAACAAAGTCTTTTTTACAGTGAAAACTAATGTAAATGAGGTAACGGATATGAATAAGGAAGGAAATTATTTTAAAACCATTTATCTATATTTTGGCATTGAAATATTTTTGCCACTCTTACGTTATTGCTGCTAGAGACGTGTTTGCTGGAATAATAACTAATATGCTTTATGAGGGTTGAGTTTTTTTATTTTAAAAATAATTAACAAAAGATTTCTGAGTCATTCATCTTAGCATGACAGCTTGTTATGCCATGTCTTTTAATTCCTGTTCTGTTTTTGATTATTTAATGAAAAATGAAAGTTACCAAACCCTTCTGAGTCATTCATTGAAATTCATCAAATTCTACATCCAATAATGCTATTTAATATGAAAATATAGAGCTCATTTTCCCTTTTCTGGTGATTTTATGTACACATTTGTTTTTGGGGTATGGCCATGCAATCTAATTACATACACATTGCGCTGCAATGTAATAGAAAACGGCTGTATTTTGTCAGAGTTCAAAACAAACTGTTGCTCTGTAAAATACCTTGTCTTGGAATGTGACATGAATCTCAACCACAATCAGTAGCAAAAAAAAATCATAGCATCCTGTAATCCATCAAAACTATGCTTATTGCTTTTTGTGGCAAGAAGTGCATGCATGCTTTGCATCACAAACTGATGATTATACACCTGAAAACACAATACTACTACTGTATATTAAATGTTTAAAGATAAATTGGTTGGGTAAGCAGCCTGTTGCTGTTCCTTGTTGTATATACATGAGAGAGCTGTGATACTTTACTAAGTAGAATAATCTAGTGTACAAAAAAATAATAATTTGGGATTCTAATTAAGGCAAATCATACCTTCCATCTGTCCTGAATCCAGCAGGACAATGCTGATTTGGGGCTCCTGTTTCACATGCTCAGAATGGAAAACTACAGAAAAGTAATCATAAAGTGCAGTATGAGTGTGTTAACATGCTAGCAACTGGGTTTGGTTATTCTAGGGCAGGCATAGGCAACCTTCGGCACTGCAGATGTTTTGGACTACACTTCCCATGATGCTTTGCCAGCATTATGGGTATAAGAGCATTATGGGGGATGTAGTCCACAACATCTGGAGTCCACAACATCTGGAGTGCCGAAGGTTACTTATCCCTGTTCTAGGGTATACTGCCTTTGCACATGGGCAACCATTGTTGGCTTACTAGCAGGATTGTCTATCATTATGACATGCATTAGACTAAACCTAATGTATGTATGCGAGCACCAGCAGTGACACAATTTGCTTCAAAAGTGCAGGTAAAGGTGTCACTGGTATGCCGTGCTTGCTGTACCATCCTGTCTTCATACCTGCCTAATTTGGCAGGTATGTCAAAATGGTGAGAGAGTATTTTTGAATTGGGCACGTTATAATGAGAAATTGCCTGTCTTGTAAAGCAGCTTGCCTCTGGACCAGGAAAGCAATACTAAAATTAAGAGTTATCAATGAATGTAACCGTAACAATCAGGGTAATCTGTAGGGACTGCGTGTAAATAAACAGAGCAATGCTCTAGTACAAGGAGTGAGGATATATGGCACTGGAATTGTTAACACGAAGAAATGTAAATTAATAGCAATTTCAATTGAGATTTGAAGTGTCTGTATATGAAGGACAGTTCCTATGTTCCTCTTTTGTAGGAGCTCCATATTGTTTGTGTTTCTGAGTGTATAGCAGAGCTCCACAAATGTAATACTCACAGTAATGGGCCTTTAAACTACAATAAATGTGTTTAGATATCATTCTGTGGAAATAGGATACATTATTAGAGTCTGCAAAGATGTTTAAACAACAAGTGGATGAATATTTACAAAAACATAATATTCAGGGATATAATTTTCAATTTGTGGGGTAATAGCTTCTCGATTCAAGAAGAGATCTGACTGAAATTCTGGGGTCAAGAAGGAATTTTTTCCTAGTTTGTTGAAAATTTGGAGGCACTTCAAACTGGGTTTACATCTACACTGGTGGTTTTACCTTATCTTGGATCAACAGCAAATGCAATGAGAAAGGCTGAACTCGATGGACGCATGTCTCTGTTCAGCCAATGTGACTATGTATTATTCTTGTTCTAAATTACACTTTAGTTTCATAAATTGTTATTAGTAAGTCACCTATTAGTTCTCACCCACACTGTTAAAATTAAAGTGTCCACTTCAAATTAAGAAAGTTACTACTAAAACTAGCATGGGAAGTAGCAATGTGATTGCAATGGTGATGTCAAGCCATGTTGTAGGTATAGTTGCTAGTGAGCCAGATTTAAAAATCTTAGATTATATACTCACCAGGTTCAAGAGCTAAAAGTCAATCTATAAATATAGACAGAAGGCTTTGGGTTTTAAAAGTAAGTCTGGGTTCTCCTGGCAGGCACAAATCAGGTTAATATGTAATTCTGAGGAAGGATATCTATTACAGGTAAGAACATTTATATCATGTCCGAACTGGAAACTTGAGTCAGTATACACACATGGTACATGGTCCACATTAGATGTAGCAACATATACAGTGAGGGAAAAAAGTATTTGATCCCCTGCTGATTTTGAACGTTTGACCACTGACAAAGAAATGGTCAGTCTAAAATTTTAATGGCAGGTGTAGTTCATCAGTGAGAGACAGAATAAAAAAAATAAAAAAATTACCAAAAAACACATCTTTAAAAAGTTATACATTGATTTGCATGTCAATGAGTGAAATAAGTATTTGATCCCCTATCAATCAGCAAGATTTCTGGCTCCCAGGTGTCTTTTAAACAGGTAATGAGCTGAGATAAGAAGCACTCTCTTACACAGAATGCTCCTAATCTCAGCTCGTTAACTGTATAAAAGACACCTGTCCACAGAAGCAATCAATCAATCAGATTCCAAACTCTCCACCATGACCAAGTCCAAAGAGAAAAAAGAGGAGAGTGGCAATGAGATTGTCCAAATATAGAAGACAGAAAATAAGGGGGTAACCCTAAATAATTGGAAACAATAAAGAGGAGAGAGATTCTGTCCCTGAGATAAAAATCTAGAAGATACTTTATTAATAAAGTATCTTCTAGATTTTTATCTCAGGGACAGAATCTCTCACCTCTTTATTGTTTCCAAGTCCAAAGAGATGTCCAAGGATGTCATGGACAAGATTGTAGACTTACACAAGGCTGGAATGGGCTACAAGACCATCGCCAAGCAGCTTGGTGAGAAGGTGACAACAGTTGGTGCGATTATTCGCAAATGAAAGAAACACAAAATAACTATCAGTCTCCCTTTGTCTGGTGCTCCATGCAAGATCTCACCTCGTTGAGTTTCAATGATCATGAAAAAGGTGAGGAATCAGCCAAGAACTACACGGGAGGATCTTGTTAATGATCTCAAGGCAGCTGGGACCAAAGTCACCAAGAAAACAGGATAAGAGATCATATATGGGTTCCCATAACTTCTCCCCTATGTTGCTCACAGTGAGTTGATCCATGGAACCCCCTACTGATAAGAAGAAAGTATCACACTATTCTATACATTGTCCGCTTATATATGGAAAGCAAAGGGTTTAATGTAATGGCAAAGGCAATGATAAATATTTTCTTTCTCATCCTACCTAAATAGTGGAAAAGTGAGTCCTTAATTCATTTCTCAACTTCTGTAGCCTTACCCTTCTCTTAAAATGTCACAGTCCTTTGTGGATAGACATACCATGGAAAACAGTATATTTTAGCATTCATACACAGGTTAATGTAAGTAAATGTAATGTATATACATTTAAAGACAAAACATATCATATATTCACAAGAAGCCTGGAAATTTGGAATGGTGCTATGCAGACTAATCCCACTACATGTAATGCAATGACAATAAAATTGGCGTGTGCTGAATTGTGCTCAATAAACCATATAGAGTGCAGCTGTATAAATAACAGGTGCAGAAAGTGTATGTGGTATATGCACCTAAAAAGTAGCTTTAATACACATTCACATACATCAAATTAAAAAAAAATAGAAAACAGTTGTTGGAAAACTAGAGTAAGGGAATATGTATAATATAATTATTATATATATAGTTTCCCCCCACCAATAAGCATTAAAAAATAAGATAAAACACTGCCTTTGTATACAGTTACCATCTTATCCCTAAGATAAAGGTGTCACTGCCATGGAACACATGATTCCACTATGGGTGGCATCCTGATGGAGTAAGATCTACTTCAGGGCTCTTTTCTTTTACCATATCTGGTAATGGTATCCATTCACCCCAGATGGACGAGATTAAGTCAGAAGAGAGGGCTTACAGTTTAAACTGAATTATCACAGGATGGACCTTAAATCCATGAGCACAACAAAATGAGATGAAAAATAAATTAAAGAACTTCAAGTAAAATACAATTTATTTAAAACTGGTTGACTGGGTGACTGGTTGGCCACTATCCTTAGAGGTCAGGTCGATGGGTGGGACTGAGCACAACTCATGACTTTTCTACTTCATATGACAACTACAGCAATGCAAGATTATGGAGATAATACACTTAGGGCAGTAGACATCTGCATTCAGTAAACGATTTGTGACCCATAACGTTTCAAGGACACAGTCTTGTCCTCAGTGAAATGAACCCCACATTATGTATCAGATTGGTGAAACGAACCAGGTGAATGATAGCCTTAGCAAGATGGGAAAATTAATAACATCCTCATAAAATGGCACCTGTAACTAATTGGCACTCTAGTAGTTTCTAAAGTAAAAAAATTATGATTCTCCTCAAGATATTGATTACTGATTGTTCTCCAATCTAGTTTTGCCACTGATTTTCTACACTTCTAGGATAACCAATACTTAGCTATCAAGACTGGTTGTGAGTATTAGGGCTGTAGTCCTGTACCAAATTATTTTATTTAATATACAAGATGTCATCAAGTAGAGATGGACAAAATCTGCTTGCATATCTTGGTCTACTTCTGTCTAACTGAAACGTACATGATGTGCAGGCAATATGGCTAGCATGTAAATCACCACTAAAACCTGCAATTTCTAGCCTCAAATTTATAAAACAAACATCCTTTATACATAAACCTTATTTCTAAATCATTCTAAAATGAATGGGACTGTTTATATTATTTTCAGCTGTGGCGCTGCTTCTTTATATGAAATCCTATTAACATTTGGTGCAGCTAGTTACCCACATGCCAAACAGACTATGGACAGTAAAGGTCCCATGGGATACAGAACGCTGAGTGCTCTAGCCACAGGTACTAGAAAGGTAAACCTCTGTTATAATATTATTAGGGTACTTTGTAACGGTTACTTGAAAATGCTAAATTTCACAGACACCCCATTAAATGCCTAATTTTATCACTTCACAGCTCCAGATTTGAATAGAGGGCCACATGTGTTTGCTTTCAAAGCAATCTTTTAGACTTCTTTGGAAAGGAAGGCTACACGGAGAGGACCTTCCAGAGCCCTGAAAGAGTTTATTCTACGATTTTGGAATGGTATGTTTTCCTAAAATGAGTGAGGAGCAAAAACATAAAGCATCTCGGAGAACAAGGCTGCACAGACAGCCCATCTGCAATTTAACCACATGAAAGACCCATGGGCAAATTCAAAACCATTAACGCAAGTGCCAGGAAAATCTGCCAAAGAGCCAGATGCTGTAATGTATTGAGGGATATCTTCCACAGGTTGTCATCTGAATCCTCTAATTACTAGTTAAAGGGAGAAGGTGCGAAGAATCATACAATTCAAATACACGGAAACAGCTTAACTCTATCACTACAGGTGAAGTCAGGATTCCGAAAATTGCTAGGTGTGAAACTATGATTATGGCATTGTTTATTCTGGCTCTAGTGCACTGTTTCATATTAACAGCATTAAAATAAAGGTTTCCAAAGTTTACTATAATTTTACCTGTAAGTCTATAGAAGCCTATGTTTTCTCTCTGAGGTGTTTATACCACTTTATCGACGTGTTTACTTGATTCACACTAAGAATGATTTCAGGCTTAGATTTTAGATACCACAAAGGGGTGGAAAAAAAGGGGACAGTTTTAATCTATGGTTAAATAATTGACAAAATCTGTGATACTTTAATGTATATTCTGCTTGTAACAAAGCACACATTTAGAGACAGACACATATATTTAAAAGGTACAGAAATCACAGTAGTTCTTTTTAAAACAAAAAAAACTATTTGCAAAAAGTACATATGTAGCAAGAAATTCAATTGTCAAAATTTGGGGCAATTTGGTTTGTTCAGTTTTTAGAACTGAATTAAACAATAAAACAAATTAAATAAACTAAATCTGCAGAGAACCAAATTAGCTCTAGAATAGGTTATTATAGCCTGATATTAAAAAAAAAAAAAAAAATGACACGATGCTGATGATAATAATAATAATAATATCATTAGTATAATAATCAAGAGTATGTTTAGCGTTTTACTTTTCCCTCTCAATGTAGATGTAGGTGAGAGTTTAAATGCAAATTTGTAAATATCTTATGCTAGCTTATATTTTGACCTTCTCATTTCTCTTAGTTAGACATGATTGAGTAGCCTGATCGTACTTTCATTAAAGATATGTGCAGATAATCTACATGACATGACACAGTTTTGCGACGTTTGCAACTCTGATGCTTGTCTGAACTGTCGTGATTATACAAGCTTGTATGTAATCCTATGCACAAAAATAAAATAAATAAATACAAAATTTAAAAAAATGCAAATTTGTATTTCCAAGAATGAGTGTAAAAAGCAGGAGGAGATAGCTATCTCATGCGCCTCCATCTGTAAGTGGATACTCAGTAACTATTATCAAATTGGTGGCTGATGCAATTGCATCCCATCCTTAGATGTGTGTGGTGTGGGTATTAAAATATTACTAAGTGCACGAGTCATTGGCTGTTCACTCCATAGAGTAGGCTGTGGGATGGCAGAATTAATCATTAAATGTGGGGTTGCCAAGATATCCTAAATAGGAACAACCCAACTTACTCCCATCACCTTGTCAAATAACCACCAGTTAATGAAATGGAGTTGGTTTCTCTTCCCCAGGGCTATGGGAATGAGACTGGTTATTTGGATCAGCAGGACTGTCACCCAGGAGACTTTAGTAAAGTAATAACAACATATTTTAGGCATAATTTTCCACAGAGCAGGCTACCCCTATAAGTTAAAGGCACAGAAACACACTGAGCCATTTGATAGGTACATGCTCGCGTTCTTATTTATTTTTGTTAAAAATGATTAATCAATAAGTTACTTCTCATCAGCTTTCTGCCCATCCATCCATTATTTCACCATTCCCTTATTCAGCTGTATTGGTAAAGCCATGCTATTTAATTCCTGGGGCAATCAATGTATTTGCATACAAAATGCCTTAAGTGAATTCTCAGTGCAAATAATAATGTTTGCAATTCAGACATAAAGTCAGAGCTTAGTAAAAGTACATTTCTAGATTAAGTCTAAAATTATATAGAACAAAAATTTTAATTGTATTACGCAATGGATTTGTCATGTTACAGCACAAAGCGAGAGGAATGCCACACAATTCATACATAATGAATAAAAACACTTTAGAACTCAGTTTTGCCCATATGCAGAGTAATGTTGAATTGCTCTGCATGAGCTGAAATGTTCTGAGTTTAAGTGTTACACATCTGGGAATACTAGGGAACAAATTTGGGATGTTGGACATGTCCCCACCCCTGAAATTGCAACAGTTGGGAGGCTTGAAATTTTAAATATTAAAAGTTGGTAGGCCTGAACTTTTAAATATTAAAGTATTTTAAATATTTTCACAAAGGCAGATATGACCATTACCCAGCAGGGAAGATAATAGAGGATGAGAAATGTAAACACTGAGGGAGATTTATCAAAATGTTCTTTGTAAAAAAAAAAAAGTTACCTAACATACTAAAGTAGATTTGTATAAACTAATTGGGATTAATAGTTTTTCTGTGACAGCAATTACCGTAGGTGTTTCTCAGCTTTTACACTCATTTTTCATTCGCACATTTGTCTGTTTATATACAATCACCAGAGAAACTAGTGGAACCAGCAGGACATTTCATTGGTGACTCCTCAGCTTTTACATGTTTACATCACTTTTGAGATGAGAACACTCTTA